TCTTTTCTTCCTCCCGCATATTTGAAGTGGCCTCCCCCTCCCTCTTATCTCGATTCGGAGAAATTCTCCACATGCGGAAAGCACACGGTCCATTTAGCGAGCCCGAGTAGGTCATGTAGTGGTTAAACGGGAGGTTCTGCTTTGGGTTTAAGTGGTTACTTGTTCAAAGCTTTGCAGTGGCGTTGTGAAAGAATGGTCACGCTTAATAAATTAGGTCAAGGGTTAGTTAACGTTAATTACCGTGATGAAGAGCAACAGCCTGCATAGCATGGCCTGGGGATACAAACGATAAAGGAATACCTTTCAAAGGGGATGGTGCGTGGTTCCCTGGCTTAGGCTTCTGTGGCTATGTCAGAAGGTTGCTAGTTCAAATCCCATCCTTGGCCAAATAGTCGTGTGTGTTTGACCAAGGCTATTAACTCCACCCCCAAAATGCCCCAGAGCCCCTCCATAAATGGGCTGACCTTGTGCTCGGACCCCAAAGTCGTGTGTGTATGTACGAAGGAGAGCATGATGGGATATGTGCAAAGAAGCATTCCCATGTACCTTTAGCTGTAAAAATGGCAAATTCAGCATCATTTCATGTCTCACTTGAGAATATGAATCATGCTGATTTTAGGGTCAGGATTCCAGCCTAGAGTTGTTTGAAAACCCCCCAAATTCAGCCTTTTTCAGAGTTTAATGGGAAAGGTCAGCCTGTGTTTATCATCCCGATCGGGGGGAAGATGTTTCCCAGCAAGTTGGATCGATGCAGCCGGACCTAAAAAAAAACCCATCCTCCGCTGCCGCTCCCTGGAGCGTATGTTCGCATCAGCAGGCTGTGTGCCGTTTGTGAACATGGGTCAGCCATCTGGGGGATGGGGGGGTGATGCTGTGAAGGATCTGGGCCCATGGGGCAGTGTGTAACCATGGTTGGAAGGTTGTCGGTTCAAATTCCAATGTTTGACAGAGTGATGTCACCGTTGGGCCCTTAAGCAAGGGCCTTAACCCCAATAGCTCCAGGGACTGGCTGATCTTGCTCTCTCAATTGTGTGTTGCTTTGGACAAAAGCTTCTGCAAATAAGTAAATTTTAAAATACCATAGCTCAGAGCTTGGCAGGGAGACTGCTGATGTCTGCCTTGCTAAATCTGGTCATCCAATCAAGGCCGACGATATCCAGAGCCCCAACGCCGATGTAAGGCTGGGTACCCTGAACATGAACCCCTGGTAGACATTTTTTTAAATGGCAATGATTCAGTTTAGTATCTTGCTGTGAAAAATTGCTTCTGAGCTGTGGGAGTCGCTTTGAACGAAAGGATCAACCAAGCAAATCGTTCATACTTTCCTGTGGATTTCGACTGAGCGACTGCATTCATGGGGGGTGTGGCTATATGATTACTTTTCATGCACGTGTTATTTTTGTCAACTTTTCCCATCAGGTACATCCATTTCCTTCCTGCTGGTGCTAATGGTGTTACTCATTACTGCCCCCTCTTCCCCACCCATCTGGCATGAGTCAGCTTGTCACACGGGGAAGGCAGCTTTACGTTCCTAATAAGGCAGTCCTTTCCACCTTAGGCAAACTGAGTAGGGGTGTATACAGGGGCTGGGCTGAAAGCTGATTGGCCCCCGCCCTTGTCACTCAATGATTCAAAACATATCATTGGCTAATAATTAAGTTGACTCCTTTGCATGAGTTATCCCACACCACCTTAAAAAAATCACCCTCTGATCCTTAAGCAGCCACATTAGAGGATGGGGGAGCCATGTGGGGGCCGGGAGGAAAAGCCAAGCATGGCAGCGGAGTTGTGTTATTGGCACAAGGCTGAGACCTAGGTCAGAGGAACACTCAGGTTAAAACAGACCTCTTAGAACCCAGTAGGGGAGATTGGGGACAATCGTTAAATCAGATCTGCTAGATATTTACTCATTAATCTGTGCACTTTTATTATGATATGTTTCATGAGCGTCAGCTGTTGCTAAGAGACTTAAGCTAGCAGAAGTGGACAGACATATTGCTGGGGTTAGTCGGTGAAGTGTGTTAAAAGTCCATACAGCAACTGACCCTGTAAAAGGATTGTCTTTGCTCTCCTCTTCTGCTCTATCAGACAAAAAATAACGTTAGCTGTTTTTGACATAATTATAAGTAAATAAAATCATATTGACCTCTTAATTATTGCATCCAAAGCTAAAAAGCAATCCACCATTGAAGCACACAGGTTCCCATAAAGGCAGGTTATGCTGCAGAGCTTAATCTTAATCAATGAATGTTCCCGAAGTGCTGTATAAATTATCGTCCCTCTTGCAAGCGTCTCGCCAATAAATAATGCTGTAAACACAGCAGCGGGGAGGAGCGACTGGCGCTAACAATGGGGATTAATAAACGACCAGCGAAATCTGGCTTTGCGCGTGAATGTTACGTCAGGGTAAGGGTGCGTTTGCTATGAGAGCTCCTTTGTCTCTGTCGGTGGTATTCTGCCAGCAGGGGGCAAGATGCAGAAGCAGGTGGGTGACTCGCTCTCAGGTCTGTCATTGCGACGAAGTCCTGCCGCTTCTGCTGCTTTATCAGATTTGGCCGTAACCCCGCAAGCTGCGATTTGACGGGAGAGGCACAAGGCCAGAGGAAGGTGGGGGGTGTATTTCTATCTTTCTTCAGTGAGAACCCGGTTCCCAGTCTCGAACCGATGAACCGGAGGACCAGGTCTCTTGCGAGATGCATATACAGGGGCGGGGTCACAGGAGCAGTGGCCCCAGCTGAATGCTGATTGGCCTCCGGAGTGCCCTCTCCCCTGTCACTCACCTATTCAAAACATATCATTGGTTCATAGTCCAGCACTGTTTGGATAAATACATCGGGGTTGACTGTTACTCCCAAGCAGTGTTTGGCCCTCAGAGTCCGTCTTTGTTCACGTATGCAATTCCTGGAGGCCTCCTCTGCTGCTCTGGTATTCCCTTTAACCACCAGGACATGGAGACAGGCTTTTCTTTCCCATTCCTGGTTGCATCCAGCACGGTCTTGAGAAGAAAAGAAGCAAATATCATTATAATCCCCTACGTCCCCTGTAGGTTGAAACAGGTCACTTAAATTAACACGTTGTGTAAAACACAAGAAACATGGTGGTAAACCAGAAACGACTAACATGACAGAAGGAAGACTCAGCCCGTCATTTGATTAGGAAAAGGATTGCAACAAATCTGGGGGAGGGGTTCTGGTGGTTGGGGGGGCATGTTGGAATATAGCCCAGCATCCCGGCTGTCTTTGCCCCCATCCTCGGCCTGCGTCTGCTTCCCCGCTTTTACTCAGTTTAACCTCATTGGTCTGGGCAAGTTTGCTTTGTAGTTTTCTGAGTCATTAATTTATTCATGGTCACAGTGGTCGCTGAACTTTAATCCAGTTTCACTGTCCTTTGTGATCTGAGGTGCTGAAAAGCTTTTAAATATGCATCTTTTTTTTTGTTTTGCCAGGAGTGAAATTAGGAATCATTCATTGCATTAAAGTCGGAGTCAACAGGAATTGCCTATAAAGAGAAAAGTATCAGTGTGTTTTGCTTTTGGTGTCGTTCTCACTGTGGTGACACAGTTCAATCCGCTTTCAGTAAATTATAACAGGAGAAAGTCACACAGATCAGAGGGAGAAAATGTAATCTTTGCCCTGGATAAGAAGGCTGCTGGTCAGCCCACAGCCCAAGAACATTCCACAGCGCTCCAGTTTGAGTGTAATCTTTCACCGTGAAAAGTGGATGGACTTAAGCACCCATCCCCAACCTTCCCCACAATGTGAAGTTACTGACACATGCTTTTGTCAGATGCAGCAGGCTTTCTCTAAACCAATATCTCACGGTGTTTAAAATGTGAAAGCTGCCCCCTGTTTTATCGCAGGACAGCGCCGACTGATTCAGTTCGGCTTTGTTGGGCACGCTGAGTGGACCCCAGTCATCTTGTACAGGCTGTCAGGCGGGAGCTAAACATTTATCTTTGCGCTTCTTTGAAAATGCGTGCGTAAGGTATACGTGCACTGATTGTTAAATATGTGATGCGGTGGGGGGGAGGGGGGGGGGTGCATTGTGGCCTCAGGCCTCCAGGGTGCTGAGTTTGGTTCCTGTCTCTGGGCGGAACATGTTCTCTCCATGTTTGTGTGGGTTTCCACTGGGTACTCTTGTTGTTTCTACATTACTGTTAATATGTGACATACGAGCACATCTTGTATAATGGCATCCCGATACAGATCTGCAAGCCCCATGGGTCCCAAGCGAAGTGGCAGATTCGGGTTGCACTTGGGCCAATTTTTCCTTGGAACAGTTGGGTTCGGGTCGGGCTTGTGCTCATTGTAGCGTCACAACTTTATTTTGGGTTTTGTTATGTTAAGATGTGCAAGTGTGAATGGTGAGTGTCTGTGCCCTACGATGGGTCGGTGCCCCGTCTTGGGCTGTTCCCTGCCTTGTGCCCATAACTTCCGAGATAGACTCCAGTCCCCTGTGACTCTGAATAGGACAAGGGTTTACAAAAGGGATGGATGGATGGACGTGCTAAGATACCAATTGCCTAGTAATGCATTCATCTGTAAGACCATGTTTCCGCAATGTAATAAAAACGAGTTATTTTGACATTGTGGGGACCACAAGGGGAAACTCAATTTTATAAAAATCCGTGACTGCAATCTAAAAACTAAAAATGCCAATGTCATTGTTGGGATTTTCCCATAGGAATGAATGGAGAGTCCCCACAGAGATATGAATACAAACGTGTGTGTGTGTGTGTGTTTGTGTGTGTTTGAGTTTAAGCCATTGCAACATCACATCATTAAAGTTGCCATTGGGCTGAGGAATGATAATATTCTGGCCTGGGTCGGACTCAGGCTGACATTTCAGGCTCATACAAGGCTCTGCATCCCAAGTCTCCTTCTTCATCCTGGATAAGTGGTTACAGGTGTGCTGATGTAACACTGAACATCCAACGCTGAATCCCAAGCCACATAACAAGACACCTACCTGACTGTGTGTGAACCCGTGTGTCCGTGCAGGTGGCAACCAGCTGAGAAACCAGCAGTTTCTCTTGAACTGGGCGTGGATCTCCCTGGAGAAGCAGCACTACGTGGTAGACGAGGACGCCAAGGTCCTGGAGGTGCTGCTGAAGCGCAGGGGCTTCCTGGGGGAGACGTCATTCGTCAGTGAGTGGATCTGTACGCTACACACACACAGCTACTCCTACAATACCGGTCTGCACCTGTGCATCTCATGAGATCTGTATCTGGAGCCGCTCTCTAATCTCTCTGATGCGCCACCCAATTAATTTGTTCCTGCGATTCAGAAACGTGGGGAATTGTGCAATCCTTGGAAGAGCGAGTATCTTGTTCTACCCCGACTTGGGTCACGTTGACCCAATCTTGCAGCTCCTTCGTTTGATCTTCCTCCGCTCCAGCTCAGTGCGTGGGGGGAGGGGGAGGGAGCTTTCCCCCAACCCCCCCCCCGGCTGTGACCTCAGTCCTGACCCACAGTTTATTTGCAGTTATAAGCTCTGCTATCTTCTGCATATTGTGAAATAAAACAAAAACTTCTCATATCTTTGCCAAGGCTTGGCCGTTCTTTTTGGGAAGTGTTTGAACTTCCGCGTGATGTTCGTGACCCATCTCTGTATCCTCTTTTTGAGCGCGCCGTAAGTGAGCCCGCGATTCATGCACCAGCTGTAGCAGCCGTCCATGTGGAGTCAGAAACCTCATCCAACCATTTTTTGATCAGTGTGGCTCATGACCATCATGACTAGGAAAGGACTGAGACTGCCCTTTGGGAACATGCGCAGCCACAGTAAAGCAAGAACGCATACACGCATACGCATGCTTTTTCTAATCAGCAGTGCTGGATTTTTGCATAGTTCCTGTTGCTTATTCAAAACAAATGCCTGTGTCTTATGTATCTCTTCATTCATATTGTCCTCTTTCAATGCCTCAGTTGTCTGAGGCTTGCTTTGGCATCAAGGGCAGCCTGTCACAGTGTTCTGAAACACGGCGACACACAGACATCACTGCACTGACCCGGACTCTGGTGCTACGGCTGCCCGGTGCTTGTATTGCGCGATATAAACTGTACCCTCGTTATATGCTCAAGTTTAGCTGGCATAGAGAGAGAGGAACTTGGTCCAGATGGTGGGATATTGGCTTTGAAGGGATTGCTGCACAGGTAAGCAGCTTTCTCCGCTTTGTGGTCTCTGTCTTCTGCTTTTTATCTCTCCTTTTCTCTTTCCCGGTCTTTCCTCTCGGCCCCTCGATTCGAGAAGTCCCGTTCGGTCCCGATTCCCGCGCCGCACGCACTAATGAGAGCCCGTCTGTCAGGAGTCACAGACGCGGCTTAAGTTCTTTAAACCCCCCCCCCCAGACCGGAGGCCCTGATTGGCTGAGCACCGCCTGCACACAGCGGGAAGTGAAACAAAAAGCGGGAGTCGCTTCCTTCGGTCTCCTGGGTTTGCTTTGAAGATCCGCACATTACTTTCTATCGATTTTATTCCCTGTGTTCATTTGTTTCGTTTCTGCAGGCGTAGAGACTGCGGATGGGGGGTTGGTATGGGGGCACAGAATGTACACACCATAAAATATTAATCATGTTAAAAACAGAACAATATGTTATTCGTTGTTCTCTCCAGTTTATCAATGTGCCACTGGAAGATAAGAACATATGGCTGTTTTTTCTGATATTTGAAAAATTGCGCTTATGATCTTATTACCTGTTTGTTTGTTTTTTTTGCAACAAACTGAACGCCATTAAAGACTGATTAGAATTAAGGCTTAGACGTTTGTACCAGAATCTTGTCCTATTTTATGTTGTGGATATATCAATTATGGCTTTTGAGTGAATATGAAGATAGTGTTTTGTGTGACTTTTATGTAGGACAAACAAAACAAAGTGAGCCTACAAACACATTAGTTCTAATTCGGTTTAAAATGTGTTTTTGTTATCTTTGCACATCCCTGTAAAATTGAATATTGTGTTAAGAGGCATTAGTGAAGCTCTTTGCATCCCTCGGAAAAACGCAGCTTTCTCGCTCTGCTCCCACAAGGCATCAGCACCAGGGACGGAACGGCTGAGCGCGACAAGGACTTCCGGGGCAAGTCGCAGAAGCAGGTCCAGTTCAACCCGGGCCAGACGGCAGCTACGTGGCGTGTGCGCATCCTAGCGGACGGCCAGTTCGAGCAGTCAGAGAACTTCCAGATCATCCTGTCGGAGCCAGTCATGGGGGTGCTGGAGGTCCCATCCGTGGCCAACGTGGACATTGTCGACCCCAGGGATGGTCAGTAACCCCCCCCCCCCTTCCCTCCTATGCCTTTAAAGTTTTAAACCAAGGGCCTCAAACTTCAATAATCTGGGGGTCATTCACTTTAATGGAATGTGGACAATCCATTAAACAGCTGGCATTAAAGCTTACCGATTGCAGGAGGGTGTGTCAGCGGTAACATTCAGCTGGGGAGGTGAAGAAACACCTGGACATGCAGCAGTTGCCTCACTGGAGTGTGTTTATAAACGTATAATGCACGGTTTGGAGTGCATTAACCCGTCTATACCGTGGTGTACCACTTATTTGGCTTACATGTTTGTACCTAAAGATATTAAAACCCACTTAATTTTGCCAATGATTAAACATTTAAATTTAAGTTCTGTTCATTTTAAATTTTGTTGTACATCTGGAATTTTAAGTAGCGATAATAGAATTGAAGATTGTGATTGACTTCTGTCATTCGCCTGGCCAGCACTATGCATGCGGCTATAGAAAATTCATCTACACTCTTCTGACCAATCAGATGCGAGAATTCAACTGTGTCGCGGTATAATATTAAGTGATTTAGTGGAATGTGTGTAAGAATTCAGAAAATGATTTAAACATTTCACATTCCTTTCTCACCATTAAGGGTACGTTAAACAAACTCTGGAAGTCAGTAATCCAGTAATCTGAACCGACTGGTCACTCTGGTGTACACTGAGTACCCAGAAGCTACCCCCGACTGAACTCTGCACCCACACAGAAGTCATGGAGGCGACAACGCTGACTCCTTCCCAGCGGATGATTGTTTCTGATACAGGGATAAGAGGGTGCGAGTACTAGAGGCACGAGTCTTTCTCACAACTGAGTACTAGAGGCACGAGTCTTTCTCACAACTGAGTACTAGAGGCATGAGTCTTTCTCACGACTGAGTATCACGCTGGAGAATCCTCCAGGTTCTGCATGCAGATGTTTTTTTTATATGTGTTATTTGTGATGGTTCTGCATAGAAACTTTGAAGATCTTGGACCAGCACTAAAGCTGATTAAAAAGTTCTTAAAGGGAGAGTTTGTTTAAACCAGCTAGTGGGACGTTCGGTGCTAGGGAATCGCTCCCCAGCTGCTAACAGCCGAGAGGCTGAGGGGGGGGAGGGGGGGCTGCGTTCTGGCCAGCATCGCGAGTCACAGCTGCACCTTTTGAAGTCGTGGATTAATTATCACAAGCGTGTTTTTTCTGTCCCCCCACTGTGTGGAACAGACAGCCGTGCCACGCCAGGCGACGTTCCCCCTCGCAGGAAGCCACAGCGGTGTTGGCGCGTTATTTATTTTTAGTTATTTTCTCGCATTAATATTTCAGCCATAGCCAAGAGTTTGTTTATTTAATCCTGGCCTGTGGAGATTAATATGACCCAGTTACCTCAGGGTGTCTGTCGACAGCGAAAGCTCAGCTCTGGCGTGATGTCGGCGAACGGGCATGCGCCCCCGCTTGCGAGAATATTGCTGTTAGCGATAGCGAGGGTCAGACCCCCTCATTTGTAGGAACGCTCTCCACATCACCCCCATGGATTTTAACTGCTAAGACAAACATCCAAACTTTTAGGATGGCCGACCATAATTGAGAAGAGAGCCCATGAAAACAAAACCGGGTCGTGTCTTACAATCGCTAGTCGGTCTTGGCGAAAGTTGGTGCACCAACTCTCGCGGGATCGGTGCTCTGCATCAAGGGTGCAGCGTCGTCTCACGGTGGCATCGAGATTACTCTGGATTTTGCTTTGTAGCATGAAAGACCCACGGGGTGGGGGGGGATTGGGTTTGAATGGAGTAGAGTGTGGAGTGTTGCAGCGCTAAGGAATCTTTTGAAACCTAAGACCTCCCAACATTCCCGATGCTGTCACCTCATCCGTTCGGCTTGACCCGCCTATCCGAGTGAAGCACTGACAGATCTAGACGTTTGCAACAAGAATCTGCAACTGACTCACCATTTTCCCGATTCCCAGAAGCCAATAAATAGCCGAATAAAGTGTCTCATACAGAGAGAAAGAACTAAAAAGAATTTTATCACGGTACTCTAATGTTATACAAATACTATTCTTGAATATTTATATTGTGTGCTTTGTTTTACATTCTGAATGAGTAAGAATAATTATAGGAATACAAATAAAGAATACAATCTGAATTCAGTGTAAATATGTAATATGAAAATGTATCAGTATGTAAAGAATGATGTCTATTGCTTTTTCCATCCCGGAAATTAGACCACGGCCAGGAATAGGATCTGGAAATGATTCATATATTTCGTGTCACCCTCCAATAAGTTTTCATCAAGAACTGGACCTCCCTATACTATCTGTCTTATTTACATGAGGAAGCTGTCCCAGCTGGCAGTGAGTGTCGCAGTGAGTTCTGTGCGGGAGTGAGTTTGGGACACAGCGAAGGAGATTAGACGAATTTGAACTCCCAGTGAACAAAGGAAGTGGAACAAGAAAGCAGGATGAGGCCCGTCATTGTCTTATTGGTCCCAGCGTGCCCGTCGTAAACTGTGTCCGTTTCCCATGCTGTCGTTCTTAAGACGTTGGTAGGTCCCCATGAGTTTGGCTTTGATGGATTGTCCTCTCACCCACTGAAACGTTCTCCTTCAATCATCTCCAGGTTCTACAAACTTTGTGTTTGTGTACCTCATGGCTCCAGATATTTTCAAGTATTAGTGTCTACAACCTCCTGCAGGTGGAAACATATATATGAGGTGGTGTAGAATGTGCTACAACTGATTCTCCAAATGATGGAGGGCGACAGGTGACCCGAAGGTTGAGGAAGCTGAGCCCTAAAGTTCATGACCTGTGGTTGCACACCATAGGTCCACATTTCTTCAGTAGATGTCTGTTTATAAAAATGGGTCATACTTAATGATGATTCTCTCCGTTGGACATGTGTCCACTAAGATAATTAGTAATGCAAGCTTGTTTATTACTCAACAGCCTGTACTCTGCTATCCAATTCTCCCTTGACAGAGTCCACGGTCTTCATCCCCCAGTCCAGCTACGCCATTGAGGAGGATGTTGGTGAGCTGTTTATACCCGTGAAGCGAAGTGGAGACATCAGCCAAGAACTCATGGTAATCTGCTACACTCAGCAAGGTGAGTTAATGTCAATCAGTGCACCAAACACCACCAGTCTCTATGTGGGGATATCACACAGGGCACAGTGATCAAGAAATACACCCAGCCCTCTGCCATTCAGGATCCCTGCTGCCTTTTTTCAGGTCCTATTGAGCAGCGCATGTAAAATTCACCAACTCCGCCACCTCAAAATTTCTTGCATGTCGTTTGTGAAAAGGCCAAGGACATCCCAGACTACCTCTGTTGTTACTGCTGCATTTAGGAAGCAAGCTGTCATTCCTGAATCCGGTTCCTTGTCGGTCAAGTCTGGTGTCGCGTGCTCTTTCACCACCTTCTCAGGAGCCTCTTGTCAGGGCTGGTTGTGATTTTAATGCTATTACAGTTGGCTGGTCAAACTCTAAGGTGCATCATGCCTCGGAGACCAAAGTTGAAAAGTTTTACTCCAAGACCATGAAGTCTCCTGTCCAGCCTTGTCCTTGGGCTACCCCGACACCCCATTCCTGCTCTACCCCCCATGCTGATTTGCAGTCTGTACCCTTCTTCATGTTCCCAGGTACAGCCACAGGCACCGTCCCCACCACAGTCCTCTCCTACTCCGACTACATCTCGCGTCCTGAGGAACACATCAGCGTGCTGCGCTTCGACAAAGGTGAGGCGGAGAAGGCCTGCCGTGTTGTCATCATCGACGATTCGTTGTACGAAGAAGAAGAGAACTTCAACGTCACGCTCAGCATGCCCTTGGGAGGGCGACTGGGCTCGGAGTACCCTAGCGCCCGTGTCAACATCCTGCCCGACCAGGACGACGGTAAGGACCTGGGCTTTAGTCTGTTATTGTGCTTCTGCAATATTTTCCACTCCTGTATCCTAAACAAAGCCCTTCTTCTTGAAAGTTGGCTCTTTGTTCTTTTATGTTTGTATGAAATATATATTTTATTCCATGGAGATCGGTTGGGGCATCAAGATTCTTCTGTAGGACCCCTATGGACAGAAACGGAGTCGTCTGACTCATACAGCCTCTTGAAAGCTTTGCTCCGAAATTGATTTATGAGGTGTGAAAGAGAGCAAGAGAATGCGTTTGAAAGAAAAGAGGGGAAAACTAAAGTAATTCCCAAAGACTCAAAGCGTGTCTCCAGGGAAACGATGATTTTCTTTTTTTGATGGAACTACGCGTACTTCACTGTCAAATGGAAACATTGGCAGAATCGCCCATTTATAAACTTGTTCGCCCTATGGTTTTTTTTCGCCCCATTAGCTGAAGGTGAGCATTACAGCTCAATAAGGAGAGGTGCAGGAATCAGTGGGATCAGCAGCAGTATCCTGGCTCTGTATGGCTGTTATCAAGTGCCTGGAGCTCACCTTCCAGCCTGCCTTTTTGTTCAGAAGCAGCCTGGAGCGGTGTTCCTCAGGGGGGTGTTCCTGGGCTGTTTCAGCTAAAACGTAGGCGCCGTTGGGGAAGGTGAACCTCAGAAAACTTGGTCATGAAACCACAAGAGCTCAGAGAAGGGTGCATTGTTACCAAGCCCTTGTCAGCTGAATATCTTATGTAGTATAGCACTGACTCGCAAGCTAGGGTTGGCCATGAGGTGGATGTTGATGTCTCTCCCTTCTGGGGGTCTTTTCACACTGAAATGTGTTCAGCATCCATACTGCCTGCCAGGGTTCTGTTCCAGCCTATTGTCTTCCACACATTTCAAGAGGTCATTAGCAGGGCTTACAAAATGAGTCGGTGGCTTCTGCTGTCACATCCTGGAAGTCATCCAGGATGTATCTGGATTCATCAGCAGAAAAGTTAGAATTTTTTGGCTTCACAGCTCTGCCCCTTTTATCTCACTGTGTGCTTATGCTGAGCTTCTACAACCCAAACGCATAATATGTAGGAATGATTACCAGCTCACCAAATAAATGAGCGTGTTTACTGCAGAATTCGTGGTGTGCAGCTCAGCAGGTTGGGTTCTTGTGCCTATGATCAGAAGGTGGTTGATTCAGGACCCAGAGTTGGCAGAGTGATATTACCTTTCACCCCTGAGCAAAGCGCCTAACTCCCAGTTACTCCATGGACTTTCTGTCGCTGCGTTCTCGATTTTGTCATTTAATACAAATTCATTTTATATTACATAAGTACATAGTAAGTAAGCAAACATCCATCTTCTGTAATCGCTTGTCCTATACACTCACACTCCATTCACATGCTCACCTATGGGCAATTTGGTAACTCCAATTAACCTCAGCATGTTTCTGAACTGTGGGGGGGGGGGAACCGGTTACACTTGGTGAGAACCCCATGACAACACAGGGAGAACATGCAAACTCCACACGCATGGAACCCTGGCAGAGACTTGAATCCAGGTCCCAGAGGTGTGAGGCAACAGTGCCAACCAATGGCACCATCATGTCTGCTGAAACCCCAAAGAAATTTCATGCATTGACATGGCTACTGAGAGGGTTAGCCAACCCTGGTATGTCAACACTAATAGTCCAGGATAACAACAGGCTGCCTGCTGTCAAGTCAGCAAAATCTGCCCACCATGGACATGTGCTTACTAAGCTAATGACTGGCTTGTCACATCCAAAGCCCAGCCCACATCCACAGACAGCACATCCGCCTAGTCGCACCCCCCCTCCACATCTACTGTGGACCCTCGGTTCTTGCATTTGATGCCCTCCCACCCCCCGAATATTTCTCTTCCCATTCCAAAGTTATATTGTGCATGAATAAAATATAACTTGTTATAAGTACGCAAAGGCCAAGCCTGGCATCATGGTTGACATCCCCCACCTGAGTGGTTTCCTGTGACCTTTGACCTCCAGTACGTTTACTCATGCGGTTTGTTTGGAGACGTGAGTCCGATGCCTGTGTGCAGGCGCTGCGCTCCAGGCGTGAGATTATCATGTGTAATCTGAGCCGTCCGCGGAGTTCAAACGCAGGGACACGTCTGACTCCTGTGAGGTGGGGGGGATGCAAAATGCAGGGCTTATCTGCAGCCACAGCCTCGGGGCGAGTCTCACCTTCAGTGAACGATGGAGGGGGGGAGGGGATCGCACAGACAATCAGGCGGCTTTTGCTTGCATGCTGCACGGGGGTCACCGAACGAGACGCGGATCGGAACAAACGCGCTTTTGTGAAGAGGTGTGTTTCTGTTCCATTGTTATCCTGCCTGGGAGGGAATTCGATTCCGCTTGGGGTCCGGGATGCTGGTTTGACGGAGAGAAAGCGAGCGGGGGGCGAAGAATTACCCAAAACCACTGGCAGACAGGGCAGCTTTATGCCCCACCGAGAAACTCACCTCACGCGTGGAGCATCTGTAACCCGATCGGCCATTTGAAAACAAATGACATGCCGCAGGATGATCGTCTGGTTCCGTGCTGATAAGAGCACACTGGCATCACTGAGCTGGGCTTGCGGTCCGGTAACTTGGACAAAACCCTCCCTCGTTAAACGGCAAACGGTCTCGGTACTCACAGGGAAGGGTAAGTAGGTAGGAAATGACTGCCTGGAGTAGCCTGGTCATTGTACATGGAGAGAGAGCAGACAGAGAGATCTGCAAAGGCTTCCCAGGACCACTGTCCTCTCCTGAGCTCTGATCTTTTGGGAGCGGTGGAGAGTGTAATTCTGACCTCCGTACATGTGTCTGTGTTTTCCTGCGTGAATATGGAGAAGAGGTTGTTTTTTTTTGAGGTGCTGTTACAGCCATGTGAGGTTCTTTTGTGGGGGCAGGGTGAGGGGGTGGGGGCCGCTGAGCATGAGAAGGAATGGTGTTTGCTGCCCATCAGTGACGTTTTTTCTCCTTTATGCTGCGCTACACACACTCACACACACACACACACACACACACCACAGACACACACACACACAAACCTACTGATGCACATACAGAACTCCACACACATGCAGTACAGTGCAACGGTCTTAGGCAGTCAAAGATAATGTTTAGGGCTATTTATCTGGGTATTACGTATATATTTGCTCAGACAAAACACAGTTTAACATCAGAACATATGCAGAGTAACAGTAACACAATAAAAAACTAACAAGAATTTGTCTGTTCCTCAAGAAGTTACTGACACCTTGCTGGATGGTTAGATGAACACAGCTTTGGTTCCCAAACCTCTCCTCAGGGGCACCTCAGCCATTCTATGTTATTGTTAAAATTGACCACCAGTTCAGTTAGTCAGCTTAGTAGGTTAAATAACTCAGTGAGGTATTTATATGGTAAACTCAAAAATTACAGTTGCAAATACTGGCCTGATTTTAGGAGAGACACTGAAATAGCTAAGCTGACACACTACGACAGGCACAGTATCAGAGTTTTACACCAATATGACGATCATTTAAGCATCATTTTTCTAAGACTCCGTAAGACTTTTGCACAGTAATGAAACTCAAAATATGCAAAAGAAAATTCTCTGCTGGGCCTCAGGTATGTTATAGAGAGCCTCAAAAGAGTCATCACTGATGGTCCCGTCGTCCCCTGGCACAGCGTCGTCAAAGCTCTGGAGGCGTGCCTCGTTTATGGGAAGTGACATCCTGTAGGAATACCCACACGCACGCTGAAACGCGGGCGGCGTACAGGGAAGAGTCGCCGATTAAAGCTACTGTTTCCTATAGTGATTTTTTTCTGACGATATAATTGTTGTTTTAACTCGGCTGCCTCTCAAAGCAGGAAGCATGTAAAAAGTGCCCCTGCTCTCTGATATCACTCACACAGGAATATATGCGACCATCTGGAACCTGTCATTACAGCTCATTTGTGGCCGGGGCGGGGGGTATGGGGGGGGGGTTATCTGGAAGCAGAATGGGCTAGAAGGTGCCGTGTTGAGCTTCCCTGTCATTACGCTGCAACCCCCCCCCCAGACTCCCCACCCCTTCCCCCAGGCTGGTGAATGATGGATAGCCTGGGCTGTCGCCTTCCCCAAACAGGCTGCACATACCTGTCTAGGTGTGTCCCAATGCTTTGTCCAGCACGTGTGTTTTCTGTCTAACATGCACGGTAGTATGTCTACATGTGAGCATACCTGTTTACTTTAGCCCGTTAACACCTTCATGGATACCATCCAGAATTTATTCATTCGGTTTTCGCTTCTCTCTCCCCATTTCAGATTGTCTGTTTGCTACTGCTTAATCAGAGCCCTTGATGAACAGCCTGGGAACTAACGCAGGTCTCCGGGTAACCAAAGCACATCTCTAAGCAACCGGCATGGGATGTTCCTTTATAGTTTAGGTTAAGTACTGCGCTCAGCGGCACAGCGGGGCCCCTTTCAGGGTTTAATCGCAAAACCTTCCCACTTCTTAATCACAACGCGGCCTGCTGCTCTGTCAACAACATCAACAAAGCGATTGTTTAATTCTTTAATTAACACAGGTGCAAAGTACACATCCCCACCCGTGGAGCGGTAATTCATTTGTACATTAGTATAATTCAGGTTCCAATTTGAGCGAGCGTCTTGAGGTACTTATTTGGGAATTAGCACTTGTGAGGTTGCTTGGATTATAATTACGAATAATTTTCACATTCGAGAGTGGGATGGGCTTTTGTTCAGGCACCCCAAACCGTTGGCGCGAGGCCGGATCCTCCTCGTGCTATCTGCTGCAGCACGACCAACCACAACATCCACAGATGTGTCGCCAGGCAGCCTAAGAGATGTGATTGGAGATAGACGGTCGATGACGTTCACATATCTGTCTCTGGCTGATCTAATGCTCCATCGCGTCGTTCCGGATAAACTTTCCACAAGATCTGGGACCTTTGTGACAATTTGCTTCCAAGAACCTATGCCCATGTGTAATGCACGGGTTTACCCAGGCTGAAACGCAGGGGCCTCTGCTAAAAAGAGCCAACCACTTCATCGTTTCTGTTTACATGCGTTCCAAAAGAGTTTCGAACCATGACACCAGATGTGCATTGGTTCTGATCCATTGCAGTGGTGGTAGTAGTGAAAGCTTGCACTGTGTTTTGGAGACACCCCTGGTGGTGGCTTTGATGACTGGTGTTTACTGCCCTTTATGACATCAGCATAATGAAACTCCATTCCCTTAAACCTGAGAGCCCCACACTCATGGACCCCCACATGCACCCAACACCTCCCCAAATGATTATAGATAACAAGAAACTCAATTGGAGAATCACATTTAAATGGCAGAATCACATTTAAATGGCAGAATCACATTTAATTAAAAACTGAATTTCAGCCCGTGGCCATTATGGTACCCGTCTTATAGACAATAATCTATTATTCTCTCGTCTCTAGAATGGATATCGCAAATTGCTGAATTTATTATTGTACAGTTTTAAAATGTGCACATAATTTCAGGGCTCTTCGCTGTCCCATGGATTGAACATCGACTGTATCCACAGTCTGCTGGTAACCTTTCTTGTCAGACTGCTGGAATTGATGCATGACTAAGTCCTGAGAGTTTGGAATCTTTAGATTTATTTGGTTCATGAAAGAAGAAATAAAGGTTATAAAAGATTTTCCAGTTGTTTAAAGCAGTCGGTCAGACCATGCTGCTTTTTTTTTCTATCGTTACAAAGTTGCGGGGGGCTTGTTTATTGATTTCTATGAAAAATCTGGTAGAACATCCTACATTTTTTTCCAAGGAATCGATTTTTAGATATTAGCTTTTTTTTAACATTTAACATTTTTAACATTCAGCAGTATTGAAGTGGAGATGATCTTATGGAAGCAAACTATAAACAACTCCTGCCCCACAGTTCTCTAACAAGTTGTTATATGGAAAACTGTTGAAAAAAAACTGACTTAATGGACCACCTCCTTGAAAAGTCACACGGGTTAAAACAAGTCTTCTTCTGAAGAGAAGGAGGGAAAAACAGCAATTTTCCCTTCCTTCAAGCTGTCATCATCTTCGGCATCTTGTCAGTGGCGGAGGAGGGGAAAATGGGGGTCGCTCTGTCACAGATATGGCTGTGAACTTTCGGTCGTCTCCCAAGGTTGGTGACAAGAGTTTTGCAGCAGAAAACAGGAAAGCCGGAAACTTTGCCAAGATCCCAAACGCAACGTGTCACCGCAGCCAAGCTAGTTTTGGCAGTGCTATGAATCTCATATACAGGGTTGCCATGTTATTAATCATAATTATGGGGATCAGGAGACAGCTGCTGAGATTGGTCACATGGTGCCTGCAGTGGCAGGTGGCCACACCCCCTCCGGGAAAGTAAATATACCTGCAATGACTGCCCCCCCCCCCCCCCCCCGCTTACCCCACAGATTGTTATCTATCAGGTAATGAACTTTTTTTTTTTTAATTAACCCTATCTCTTCATAGTGCATTTGCTTCTCTCTACTCATTCCCCCTGCCACATTAGATAGGCTTTGGGTGCGTTAAGTTATTGCCAAGATACAGCTGGTGATGCTGTAGTTAAGGAGCAACTTAACTTACAGAGGACTCCATACTTTGTCCAGGAACGGAATCCCACCTTTAAATCTGTTTTACGCTGCGGCACTTTTCTTGCAGATAGACAAAGAACATTATTCCTGGTAAGCTATTAAAAAACAAAGGGTTAGGTGCCATGTCATTTGTTATTAAGATGGAATACGGTGATCTTGTTGACACATGTTACATGAATACTGATGCTCTTGCGGCTGTTTCTCCTCACCCCAGAGTGTCAGGAACATGCTGTAACAGGAATCGGCAAAAAGTGTCAGCTATGGCTGGCCTCCTTGTATATCCCCTTATTTATTTGTTTAATTTTTTTTTTTATAGGTGTCTTATGTACATAAGGCGCCAGGAGTGTGGACATCAGCACAGTCGCCTACGCTTGGTTTAGGCAGACAACCTTTCTGCTTTTCTAACTCATGTTTCCAAAGCGGTCTCTGGAACTGACAGCAGGTCGCAGGAGGACGCCCGGCGTCACGCTTCCGTGTAAAAAGATCCGGTTCAAGACCCTCCGTGAGGAGCGCTGCATTCCACAGCGGAGGACAGATAAACTTGCAGATATGATCTGACACATCACTGCGAAGTGGTGCTTATGACCGTAACGTGTCCCTAGTGGGGTCGTTTTTCAAAGCCAGTAGCAGTCGGCCTTTGTAGAACTTTGATCAAGGGTTCCTACAACCTGCTGCTTCCTGATTACAAATTTAAACTTCGTCGATCGTGAATCATCTGAGGTTTAAACAGCAGACAGATTCCCGTAACGGTTTGGTCTAGACGGAGTCCCCTGACTTTTTTTTCCGCACTTAGACAAGATATTAGTTTTGGTTGTTTTCTGGATGTTACTATGAGAAGGACAATCCATTTCTGTGATTTTCAGTCCCCATGAAAGTGGCGATTTTGAAAGCATGTAGTTGTTAAGAGTTTGAAAAGCACAAAGCACTTCAATTTCTTGTTCATAGAAAGTCTTTTCGGCCAAACACCACCTGCGGTAATGACACAGGCTTGTCTACTCATTTTCTGTTCCCTCAGCACCTGCGTTCTACTTCGGAGAGCTGGAGTACCACGCTGATGAGAGCGAGGGCCATGTGGAGGTACGCGTGTGGAGAACCGGGACCGATCTGTCCAAGGTGGCCACCGTTACCGCACGTTCCCGAAAGACCGAGCCCGTTTCCGCCGAAGGTGGGCCTCGCTCTCGCAACGTTCAGCAGTGACCGTGTTGGTTTCTTACAAGTTTTCAGTGTTATCTGCCATCACTGGATTTGAGTCTCAGCTCATTCCCGCAATATCTGGACGGCACCCTGCATTTCATTACTTTTTGGATAAATTCAAGAGCAAATTTCCCAGACTCAATCAGTCCACAGGATACGTTTTCAGGAAGATTTCTGTGGAGTTTTAGAGTTCTGGGAATGCAATGAATGTTCTTTGTTGGATTTCATGAGGATTGAGTGAGTTTTGGTTCCCAGCACTGTGACATGTGATGAAGAAGCCTGGCTTTAGGTTAATGGCGGCTTTCGCTCAAAAACAACGCAAATGGAGTGAGTTTTGTAAATTTGCTCTTCAATTCGAGAAGTTATTGAAGATACTGTTGGTACTGCATGTGAAATAGTGACGTTCAGTGATGCTTTGTGCTTTGAGGAAAACCAGACCTTGCAATGGTTTTGCTTTTTCGAGATAGACTTCTGTGGTCCCCTGGTGGGGGGGGGGGGGGGTTGTTGTTTCATGAGCAGATAGATTAGGTACAGGAATGCAGTTACAGGTTGGAGGGGATTCAGGGAGGGGTCCGTGCAAAATGCTGTGGCCTCAGGCCAGTATAGATGGGTGAGATTTGGTGGGAGTGGAGTTGACCCATTACCAGGTTGTTATGAATGAGCAGTACATCTGAGGAATGTACAGGTCTAACAGACTGAGGCTTACACACACACACACACACATACACACACACGCACACCTAGATATCTGCACAGGCGGGGCCGCATCCTTAAGCTCCCCCTTACCTTTTAGTTGCCTTCTTCAATTTTCATACTTTTACTCCTTTTCCGTTGCCTTTACTCACACTCTCTTGTAGGTTGACTCCTTACTCCTGTTTCATCTAAAACTTTCAGGAGAAGCTTAGCTAAGGTACCGACAAGCATTTCTGGGTCATTTGCCCATGAGAAATGCTGGGAGGCTAACAAGGCACCTTCCATGCTCAAACTTTTTATAAACAAGCAGCTAAATAACCTCCTTCGCATATACCAAACGGACGTGTACTAATGCCATAATCCACTTTCTGGGATTCCAAGTATTCACTGCTGTCAGGCCGATCATGCAAATTCTTCCTTTATTTTGCTAGTTTTGCATATACTCTCTTAGTAGTTACTATTAGTCCTTAAAGGATGATTTTACAAGGCTTTCTTGATTGCATTCCCACAATCCTCTTCAAGTTCTGCTAACTGAGGTCAGTGATGTCTCTATATCATTCGCAGCTGGCACGGACTATGTGGGGATCAGCCGCAATCTAGATTTTGCCCCAGGGGTGAACATGCAAACCTTACGTGTGACCATCCTGGATGACCTGGGCCGCCCCGCCCTCGAGGGAGTAGAGAGGTTCGAGCTGGTACTGCGAATGCCGATGAACGGCGTTCTTGGAGAGCCAAGCAAGACCACCATCTACATCAACGACTCTGCCTCAGACTGTGAGTGTTACTGTGACTCATGACATCATAAGAATATAGTAGAAAGCTTTTTTGAGCATTTTTGATGAATTCAGCGAATTTAAGAACATCTTACAGCAAGTCCGCGATTCCTCTAACCTCTGATTTGTCTGACTGTTGAACTCTTTATTCTATCAGTGCCCAAAGTACAGTTCCGGAATACCATGTACACAGCCAATGAAAATGAGGGTCAGGTCTCAGTCATGGTGCACCGCAGCGGTGACATCAGCTACCGGTCCACTGTCAGATGCTACACCCGGCAGGGCTCTGCCCAAGTGATGATGGACTTTGAAGAGCGGCCGAACACTGATGCCTCGCTCATCACCTTTCTCCCAGGTAGGACACTGATCATAGTAAGAACAAAGATAAAGGAAAGACAAAGGCCAAATATGGCAAAGTTCTGATGAATTTCTTTATCCATCTTTCCCAGATAAATATTCCTTCCTGTTAGACAATGAATAGCTCGAAATATTAATAAACTTATTTACATAGGTGGCCAATTACATAATACATAGATAAATAACACATATTTAAAATGTGACTACTACACCCAGACGAAGATTCAGTCAAACAGTCTGTGTATTAGGCGTAAACATTGATAAATGGATTTCATAAACCCTTGAGGATTTTTCGGTACTTCTCAGGTCGATGCGTTAAGTTTATTGGTCAACCAATCAAATTAAAATAAAATTTAGTTTCATAACTCCTGAGAAATTCAATACTGGTGAATGGGAGCCAGGTGAAAAAAAATACAATTTAGCCTTTGCCCCTCAGGGGAAACGGAGAAGCCGTGCATACTGAAGCTGGTGGACGACTCGCTTCACGAGGAGGACGAGGAGCTCCGGCTGGTGCTGGGGAGTCCCAGGAGTGACTCGCCGTTTGGGGCGTCTGTCGGGGCTCAAAACGAGACACTCGTCAGGATAAACGACCATGCAGACAGTACGTAAGCGGCAGACATCCAGTACGTAGACAGTTGACCCCAAGTCCAACTCTGCATGGCATTTAAAGTCAAACCCAAGTGAATGAGGTGACGGTTTCTTCCTGAAGTCCTGGAAGTCGCAGATCGGTTAAACGGTCAAAGTTAACCTGGTCGGTTGTTTCGTCTTCTGCATCCTCTCGCTTCTTTAACCGCAGAGCCCATCATCAAGTTCGCTGAGACCAAGTTCAGCGTGAGCGAGCCACGAGAGGTCGGCCAGGTGGCGGTGGTTCGGATCCCCGTGCTGCGGGTGGGAGACTCCTCCAAGGTGTCGGTGGTTCGCGTTCACACCAAAGACGGCTCTGCCACCTCAGGAGAGGACTACCACCCCATATCCAAAGGTAGGGCCCTGTCTTCATCAAGCGCAATCTCATGACCTAGTTACTAAATGTGAGGGAGGGGTACAATTTTGGCGGCGTCGAGCCGTACCGCAAAGAGACCGTTTTCCATTGTAAATTATCCGAGTCTTACTAATCCCATACCCATGGTGCCACAATCCTGCTTACTAGCAGGGCCGAAAGCGTGACCTGACGTGCTACGTCCATCACCACCATCTGATTGGTCAAAATATATGGAGGTACTACTGTTCTGCGGATGGATTATCTGAAGGGAAGAAGGGCATATTCTATATATCATTCATTTTTAGTCGTATCGCACATCACGATGTATAGATGCGTTCGCGATGAGTAACGGGAAAATTTCCATCCACCTACTTAAAAAAAGTACTATAGAACAGCTGAACAGAGTGGTTTTATAATACAGATTTACGCAGACAAATGCTAATTCCCAGCTCCTGTTATGTGGTGTGAAAGCGACACACTAAAGAGGCCAGGAACTAAATAGTCCATGGTCTAGACAGCGTAGGAACCATGTTACGGAACTTTGGTGTATAAGTACCTGCCTCTTCGCAGGTCGGGTCGGATCGATTCCTGTTTGCTAGTGGAAAAGCACCACTTGACTATTCATTTACAAATAGACTTTTCAGTAGTTTTTCCTGAATACATTGTTGCCATAATCTTTTTTTCTGCAGTGTATAGCAATGATCAAAGCATTTTTCTTATATCCGTGGACTTTGTGGGACGTCTTTCTTTGTGAAGCAGTTATGCCCCCTTCCAGTGAGTCACGGTCACACACCCATGTTTCAGAGAGTTGATGGGGCAAAAATCTATGTCAACAGATGTGGAGTTTAAGGAAGGGGACACGCGACGTGTGGTGGAGGTAGAGATTCTGTACGACGGCGTGCGGGAAATGAGGGAGGCCTTCACTGTCCACCTGAAGCCTGACGAGAACATGGTCGCTGAGATCCAGGTGTGGGAAACACGCATGAATATACCGTGGAAATTTTACTCTACTCTTTGTGTGGAACCTCCTTCCGAAATTCCCATTCTCTGGGTCTATACTTACTGATGTGCAGTCTGTGTAACCTATACAGTATTTTAAGGTGCTCTACAGGATAACAGGCACTTCTTACACTATAATTTTAAAATGTTTTAATATTTTAAATAAACACTCCCAATTAATATAAATTTTTAAAGAGAAGCATGAAATAGTAATTTTCAGTTGATTCAAGATTTAATGGATTTCATCAGTTATTTGTGCTGAATCTATTTTCCAGAAGTTCTGAAAATGTAAAAGTCTAAGTCTGTTAATTTCAGGTTTTAGTGTATGTTGTTTTACTGGGGTCTTGATTTTAGCAAGTGTATTCATTATTGCCGTCACTATAAGCCATGTGGTCCTATTTGTCGTGTGACAGATGAGCAAAGCCATCGTGTACATCGAGGAAGTTAGTATGGCCGATGTCACCTTCCCCTCCCTGCCAGAAGTGGTCTCCCTGCTGGAGTACGACGACACCGGTCGGACCACGGACCGCCTCCACCCCACAGCTGGTTACCCTGTCATCTGCGTTACGGTGGGTCCATGCTTCCTCTTGGGGGGGTGAGATGCATGATGGGATGCCCTCAGGCATCTGTGATTGATGGTGATGGCCGGGTTTTGGATTGCCGTATTTACAAAACCAAAATATCCGCACAGCAGTGTTTCTTGACCCAGTCCTTGGGGACCTGCAGACAGGCCTGGTGTTTGGTGTTATCGAATGTTTGGATCAGGTGTGCTGGAGCTGGGAGGGAGCAAAAATGTGTCTGGGGGGTCTCCGCAAACTGAGTTGAGAAACACTGCATTACAGGGTCCGCTTAATTGTCATTGAGAAAATCAGTTGGAGGTCTACAGTAATTGCATAGACAGGGTGGAGATCTTGTGCTTGATTTCTATCTGCTATAGCTGGAACTCTGTTAGCACGTCCAACACAGCTGGTCCGCTGTGGTATCTAGTTTCCACCCCTGGCTGCTTATTAATACAGACATCAAAGTATTATGTATGAAGAAAGAAATCGAAATAGTCAGGCATTACTAAAGGGAGCTGCTTAAATGACTACCTGATCGGGGGATGACAGCTGTCTTGTTATATTAACAAGTTGGTGGGTCCCAGACGGCTAATAAGCCATGAAGACTGCAGCTAAATAGGCTAGCGGTTACCGTTTTGCATAACGATGGAGGATATTCCCTGAGGCTTCGTAGTTCCAGAAAGAGAGGAATTACTGCTTCCTGAAGTGGCCTGTGGGGACATTTTCATGGCGTGTCTGTTTATGTATTTGTGTATATAAGTATGTGTGTTTTTTTGAGTTGGGTCAAAATTTATAGGATTTCTAGCAACTGGTCATGACCATCTCCTTCTTAATGGTTCCATTCTCACAGGCCTGCAATCCAAAATACTCAGACTACCACAAGACAGGCTCCATCTGTTTTAGCGAGCACATCAACAACACCCTGACCCGGTACCGCTGGCTGGTCAGCGCTCCCGCTGGGCCCGATGGTGTCACTAGCCCCATGAGGGAGGTGGACTTTGATACCTTCTTCACGTCCTCCAAGCTCATCACTCTGGACTCCATTTACTTCCAAGCCGGCTCGCGGGTTCAGTGCGTCGCCCGCGCCGTCAACTCCAACGGTGACGAGGGCCTGGAGATAAGCAGCCCAGCTGTCACCATCAGCGTGGAGGAGGGTGAGTAGCGGAATTTACTGCCAGCCCCTGGGTATTCCAGGCACTTAGGGTGTTTCTCAAAACCAAAAACGCAAAGATCATACTTGTGGTCTTGGCAAAGCAGCCTCGTTAATTTGCCTCCCGAGAACGAACTTGAGACACAGTGAATCATGGGATCAATCTGGTTTGATGAGGATGCAACTGATTCATCTTTGATATTTGGGGCGGGGCAAGAACGACATTCAGGGATTTTTACCGTCCACTGTGCTTCTGTTCTTGAGTATTGAAACTGGTCTATGGCAATGGAAGATAAAATGGATAGACGAGAACACAAATATGATGATGTATGCATACTGAGAAACACCCTTAATGAACCTATAAGTATCCCTGAAATGATGATGTCATAATGAGTGCCGTGTGACCTGATACGTGACCGCAGGCTTGTGCCAACCCCGTAACCTGGGCACGGTGGGTGCTGAGCCCTTCTCCGCCAAGCTGCGCTATACGGGAGCTGACGACCCCGACCATGCCAACCTCATCAAGCTGACAGTCACCATGCCACACATCGACGGTGAGCCAGTACACCCGTTCCTCCTCATGCCCCCCCTCCACCCCTAACACCCTGCTTGTTCCCTCCATGCACACAAACCAATAGGCACCTTGGTTCTGATCACACTGTTCCGGTGTTTTCTTTCACACCGAGCCCCCAGCATGGCTTTTCAAATTCACACTGAGAGCCACCCCTCTCGAAACCTCGTAGTACTTCCCACACCCCCCCTCCCTCATATATTTCCATGCCATCTCTCACTCTGTACCCACCAATTACGCTAAGTGCCACCCTAATGCTTGACCCTCCCTAGGCATGCTGCCAGTGATCTCCACTCGGCAGCTATCCAACTTCGAATTAACGCTCAGCCCAGACGGCACACGGGTGGGCAACCACCGCTGCTCCAACCTGCTGGACCAGCACGAGGTCACCACCCGTCACGGCTTCCTTACCGACGCTGCCCACGGCGCCAATGTCATCGGGGATGCCATGCCGTACCAGTACAGTTCCGCCCTGCGGGGTGCGGGGGCGCTGCGCTTCTACAGGAACCTGAACCTGGACGCCTGCCTCTGGGAGTTCACCAGCTACTACGACATGTCCGAGCTGCTCACGGACTGCGGGGGGACGATCGGGACCGATGGGCAGGTGAGCCTAGTCGTTTTAGCCAAAACACAGTGTGCTGGGAGGGCGAGTGATATGTGGCTCAGCAGGTTACAATGCTATGCCAGTGATTGAACGTCGTCGGCTCAAATCCCGCACTCGGCAGAGTGGTTTCAACACTGAGTCTCTGAACAAGGCCCTTAACCCCCAATTTCTCCTTGGACCATTGGACCCTACTCCCTCAAAAATTGCTTTGGATAAAAGCATCTGTGTACCACTTTGTATAAAAGCGTTTGCTAAGTAAATAAAAACAAGTCACAGACACAATGATTTTGACTGACATATCAATACGCCCCCCTTATAAATTTTTCAACCATTAGAAAAGGGAAATGTCCCATCAAAACCAGCTCACGATTCCTAACATTTTATTACCAGCCAACATCTGAACTCAACATTTTCGAAAATGTTTGTGGGTAACACACTTGCAGCACACTTTGGTATAAGAAGAAAGCAGAAGTCGCAAGTTTACTGGGCTCTTTGGTGGTCGTTTCCTTCTCAGTTGTTGCGTTTCTGTGTAGCACTCCAGCATAATTCACTTATAGTGATCAAGTAGTCCGCTTACAGTGTTCATTTTGGGTGTTTTTATGCATGACAACTTACAGAAAAAAATTTAACTACACATTTTTTTTTTTTTAGCTTTGCTTTGCATCTGCTTCTGGCTAGCTACTGTATGCTGCATGCACAGAAAACATGACGGGAAAAAGAAAGTCATTTTCTCTCATTGACAAATATAGACTCATCAAAGCTTATGATAAACTGGCAAAAAACGAGCCGCCGACATACAGCAGCGAAACTACAGGCAGCTGTATTTTATGTACAACATAGTACCATATTGCTGCACCAAGGAGACCAAGGAATCACGGCAGCGGTGAATGAAATCAACAACAGGTGGACTGACATGAAGTTGTTTTTTTATGTTATTCCATAAAGGAACCACACAACAAGCAACAATAACACGAAAGCCATGAATAACATGCAAACACAGGGCAGTTACACAGCGGGTAAGGTGCATCCACGGCGGGTAATTACACAATGGCTAAGACACACGAGGATCAGGCAAGAACCGCGTATAACCACAGTTAAAAGCACACGTGACAATTGGATACACAGCACAAAATGTAACTACACTAACAAATATGATGATGATGATGATATTGATGACGATGAAATACAAACAGGGGCTATATGCAAGACACACTCAGGGCCATATACACGCACTCGTGAGGCATGCTGGGACATGCAGATGATGCCGGCTACAATATTTTAGAGTATTTGAATTATACATAATTCAATTATTTAATTTGCACAGTACTGTCATTTGAAACAGCTGTACTGTATTTTGAAAGAGTTAATAAAATTCAGTAAATAGCAACGCTGTCCATTTTATTAGCTGTTATTCATGTAATAGATATACAAATACCAGATGGTAATCTGCCTGAGCTATAAATAAAAAGTAAAAAAAATATAATGATAAACTGCTTATAGTGATCGATTTCACCCAGACGGGCATGATCACTATCAGCGGATTCCACTGTATTTATTTTATATTTTAATAATTTAATTATAAATCATACAATTTTTCATGTTTCACTTTCATAGTTTCTGGATTTTATTTATGGAATGTGAATTTCTATTTACTGTGACTTTGGTAAATTATTGACGATGAAAATTTATCAAATGAGAATTAAGATAGCAGATTATTTGTCTTCTCTGGTTAACTTTAGCCTGTCTTTTTCTTTCTTTATTTAACTTTTATGTTGACAAACAGTCATTGACAAGAGCTAACATGCATTGCTGGTGGGCCGATACTGCCCCCTACAGAACAACTGCCTGTAATGCCATGTGAGAAGATTCAACTAATATTTACGCACAAACAACAAGAAAAAGTCCTACCAAATATTTACAAGGAAAAACATAAAATGGAAAAAAGACAGCTGTGGGGTATATGACACACGTTGGCAGCCAGAATTAAGTTTTTAATTTTCATGACATTTCTGCTCAGTTTCTAAGAATCTGTGCAACTAGTGTTTTTTAATATTTGAATACAGGTATCCATCAAACCTCTATAGTGGCAGCACAGTTCATTTGTTTTTGTTCTTGCCGCATGCTGCACATGTGGTCAAATATGTCCACTTCAGACGTCTCTCAATACATTTTAAGGCTCTTATGCCCGTATATAAGGCTGCTTCAATGGGAGACGAGTTCAGAGGAGCCTTCATGCACACCACTGCTGCACTGACCCACTGTTCCTGCACTTGTGGCTTTCTGTATGTTTTTCGTAATCTCTAGATGCTGTATTGTGTGAAAATCCCAGGAAGGTGATTGTTTCTGCAACCACCATATCTGGCCCCAGCAATCCCACCACATTCAGAAAGTTCAGGTCCAGAAAGTACAAATCCAGGCCAAGATTTTGTTTCAGCCAACCAGCTGAGTATAAAGTGTCACAGTCACAGAGTATTTAACTGGTTGGTTGGAACAAAATCTTGGCCTGGATTTGTACTCTCTGGACCTGAACTTTCTATCTCTGTCCAAAATCATTTGCATTACATATCTTAAACATTCTAATGCTTAGCTGCACAGAGCCTGAACCTCTTGCCTCTGTATGATTCAGTTGCAGCCCCGTGATTCAATTTTTGGAGGAGCAGGTGGAATAATTACTATACCAGACATGGACGAGAGGCTGATTCTGAGTGCTGCATTGCCTTAATATTAACACTTGGGAGCCTGGATTCTGGTGGTCGGTCCAAATGGCTCAACAGCCTGGCCAAGATTCACACTGCAGAGTCATTGTCTTTGAATGTTTACACTGTGCAAACTGAGAAACACCTTTGTTTCAGACCTTTGAAGTACTAAATGTTCTCTTGTGGCATTGTGTCAGGAAAAATTTTAGCCAGGAAACATTCAAGTAATAGGCCCTTAATGACCCCGTGGCAGGTGGAACAATGATGGCTTAGTCCTGTTGTTTCCATGGTTATTGGCAAGGTTTATATGTGAATTGGCTTGAGGTTTTTTCTGCGTTTTTCCCCCCTAACTCTCTGCTTGTCTCTCACCAGGATGCAAGCAGCCTTGATTGATATGTAGATTGGTCAGAACACCGTGCTTTGCTAGAAGTATTGGCGTGGGTTGGTAGGCTGAAGCTCGCTTTTATGCGCATTTAGTATTTCAAAGGTTTTCAAATTGCTTGTGTGAACGTGTTTGGGGATAATCAAGTCAGCTCTGTGGTCGTCAGTATTACTTCTCTGCAGTTTGCACAGCGTAGAGTGATCAGCCAGCTCCACTGGTCTTCCCAGCATATACATTACTTAAAACTGCAGAATTTGGAATAATTTCTTTTGATATCTATAGTGTCTCCAGCTTCTTTGGCCTCAGCTCATTTAGCTTCATCTTTATTTGTTTCCAGCTCGTTTGGCCCTAACTTATTCAGCTTGTTTGTTCAACTCCAGCTTGTTTGGCTTCAGCTCATTTGTAGACAAATTGTTTGTTTCTTGTTTGTTTAACTTCAACTCATTTGCCCCAGTTTGTTTGGCTTCAGCTCGCTTGTTCAGCTATGCATTGTTTGTTCCCAGCTCATTTGTGGGCAGCTTTTTTTATCCATATTTTGTTAACTCCAGTCTGTTTTGATTCAGATTTTTTGTTCAGTTATGGTTTGTTTGTTCCCAGCTCATTTGTGGGCAGCTTGTTCCCCTCTAACAATTTTTCATTCTAGGAACGTTTACCGAATGTTACGATTAAGGTATAGAAACATTCAAAGTGTCCAGTTTTCTTGATGTTCCCAGAATGCTATTCCAATACTAAAACAACTACTACTACAAATATGACCAATAATATACAAACAAAGAAAGTATTTGGTAGAGCAGCAGGTAACACAGTTGCGTTACACACATATAGCACTTTTTAAAAATATTTTATATTTCATATAAAAAATAATATTTTAATGTAAACATGGAAATAACATTGCATTAACGTTACAGTAAGAATGTTCTCTGGCAACTTTGAGAAGACCTTCAAATAAAATTAGCTAAAGTTCTGGGGACATTCCCTATTAGCCGAGTTTATCTATAGTTTGTTTCACTCCAGCTTGTTTAATTCCAGCTTGTTTGTGGGCAGCTTGTTTTGCTTAGCGTGTGGTAATAGGGTCTGCAGATCACACCTTCATTATCTTTACCTGTTGACAGGGTCAGTGTATTTGCACAGCTATTGTACGGCTCTTTGGAGTGATTATGACATGGTGACAAGTGCAGAAATGTCTTAGAATTTGTAACCAGTAATGGATCTGTCAGTGTCACCCCCCCCCTCCAATCTCCCAATGTGCCAGCTTCCGGAAGATTCACTAGAATGACACATCACTGTCACACTCTGTGGCTCCTGAATGTGAGATAGTGGAGCTGCCCCCACAGGTGTACCGTATTTCCACGCTTCATAAATAGAAATAATCACAGAGAAGAAACCGGTCTGATGTTTAAAGGAAATGACAAAAATCCTTTATATAGCGGATGGATGGATGGTTCCTTAAAACGATTGTATTGTCTTAAAGATTTCTAAAATCCATTCTGACATTTGAACTATTAGTGCCCTCCGTTCCAATCGACTAATTAATGTTATTAAAAGGAAATGTAATGTAATGCAGTGGTGAACACACTGCCGTCTCAACCTTTTTAGAACATTTAGAAATTTTGAATATTTACAAAAATAAATGTCTGATGTTTTCAATTATATATGAGTAAAATAAAATTGATCAATCAGATATTTTTGTTTTTATATGCATTTTCCACATTGTCCTAACTTTTTTGGAAAAGGGCTTGTATAACATTCAGAGATTTTACCATAGTGAATGTGTTGTATTTTTGATGGGCAGGTGCTGAACCTCGTCCAGTCATACGTGACTCTGCGTGTCCCGCTCCACGTATCCTACGTCTTCCACTCTCCCGTGGGCTTGGGCGGCTGGCAGCACTTCGACCTGCAGTCTGAGCTGCGTCTCACCTTCGTGTACGACACTGCCATCTTGTGGAGGGATGGTATCGGGAGCCCTCCTCAGGCAGAACTGCAAGGCAAGTCAGCGGTTGAGAGATCAGGCTGATAAGCTGGTGACAGCCAATAGATCGTATCTTTAAATTTCCCAGTCCGATGGACTTATTCTGTTGACCATCTTGTCCCTGTCTTCGCTTGTTGCAGGTTCTCTGTATCCAACCAGCATGCGGATCAACGAACAGAGCCGCCTAGTGGTGAACTTCCGCACGGAGGCTCGCTTCCGAGGCCTTTTCGTAACGTCACATTCTGGTACAGTTTACTGGTTGCTTCGGCCTTCTTTTGGGCTTTGTTGTTAGACGATAAGAAAAGACTACACCCAGGGAGATGTGCTCTTCGTGAGACAAGGGTTTAACTTACCGGCATCTGAGCTACACACAAGAACAAATGCAATCCAAGATGGCTGCCGGAGCTTACTTGCTTTAATCAGTTGTTATTCCCCTATTGGTTTCATTGACACTGCTAATTGCTGGCAAAAATACCTTAAAATGCCTTTATTTACGAATAAGCCTTCCGGCTCCTTGCTGCATTTGAATTTTCCATGCTTATCATTCGGCTCCAGGCTCCTCGATGTCCTCCATGGTCATGTGCACCGATCACCCAGGGCTCACCTTCAACCTGAGCCTGGTGAGGAGCGAGCAGACGTACAACCAGCCCATGCAGCAGTGGACTTTCACCTCCGACTTCGCCGTAAGGAAAACTCCACCTGCCATCGTTGTCCCTCTCCAATCCCTTGAGACCTGATAGGACTGGCACAGCAGAGAGCTGTTCATTTATTAGCTTAGCATGGATAGAAACATCTTTTTTCTAAGAATTGTGAACCACCAAGGAGAAAACTAGAATATTCTAGAATTCTGTAATAGCTGTTTTTAGGAATCTGTCAGTGTCTGACAGCACACTGCCCATATTTTTGCCTCCATAATACCCCCTCATTTTTGCTCTTCTGCTTGGCTAACATTTTGTGGGCCATGCCTGGTCTTTATGTATTTATCGCAATTTTCTGTGTATAACCATGTAATTTCCCGCTTTTTCTCTGTCTGGCTCTGTGTCTGGTGTCCAAAACTCTGAATAGTCTTTCAAACGTGAGCTCTCATCTGCTTTCCTTCCTTGACCACCCTCTTCTCCCAAGATACGAGATTACTCGGGCACCTACACTGTGAAGCTGGTCCCATGCACGTCTGCCCCCACCTTCGAGTACAGTTTCCCCCCTGTCTGCAGCCCCCGGGAGCCTGTGACCTTTGACCTTGACATTCGCTTCCAGCAGGTAAGCATAGTCTAGGATGGAATCATAAATATCCTTTTAAAGGCCCCGTCCAGTCCGTTGTCTTTGACTCCCAAGGCACTGTTTGTGGAGAAAAGCACCAAATGTATTTTTTAATAACCCCCTTAAAAATGTATTCATTTTGCCCACACGTAGGTGAGCGACCCTGTACCCGTGGAATTCAGCCTGAACACACAAATGTTCCTGTTGTCCAAGAAGTCACTCTGGCTGTCTGATGGCTCCATGGGTTTCGGACAAGAGAGCGACACCGTTTTTGCAGCGGGTATGAAAGCAGAGTCACAATTATGTCCAGTATGACAATACCACCACCTTTGGGCCAAAAGACATTATTGATAGCCCGTTTCAAATGAAGGAACGTATCTTTCTTTCACAAAAGACATTCAGTATGTGATTCCATTACTTGCACCAGCACTGTCAGGAAAAAGGTTACAGACCCAGTACAGCTTTGTTTCTCAAGGTACAAACAACATTAATGTACCCTGATGGTACAAACAACATTAATGTATTCCGATGGTACAAATAACATTAATGTACCCCAATGGTACAAACAACATTAATGTACCCCAATGGTACAAACAACATTAATGTACCCCA